CACCCTCCGTGTCCCAGGGGCACCGAGCAGGCTGGCCATCGCTGAGGCAGCCTTTGCCAGAGCAAGTGCCAGGTGCCTGCGGTGACACCTCAGTGTCCTCAACCTCCCCCGGAGGGCCATTCCTAAGGTCTGGAAGAGGACACATGTCCTCCACTGCCGATCCTTCCTGCCCAACAGCCCTGGGGGAGGTTCCCAGGAGGGCTGGCTGGGTCTCGTCCTGGGGATGCCCTGGTCCTGCCCAGCCCATGGGGGTGCTGGACAGACCCCAAAGAGCAGCCCCATGCTGCAGCCGGGATTGCTCCGCTTGGGAGCTCGACTCCGCTCCGGCAGTGCCCCCTGGTGGGTAGCTGTCCCCCTGCACAGCCAGGGTCCCCGAGAAGGGACCCCACCCCAGCCAAGGGACCCTGCTGCTCCTCCCCTGCATCATCCAGAGGCAAACAGGGACTCGCCAGCCCAGCAGAAACTCACCGTCCTTGTTGCTGGTGACCGGGATGTTGTGGACAGTGCGTAGCTTGAAACAGGACCCTGTGAGCACCTGCAGCTCCACCGAGCTCAGGACAAAGGCCTGGAGGTCTGGTAGAAGACAGAGAGGAGCTTCAGAGGGGTGCATCCAGCGCTGGCCATGGGGACCAGAGAGCAGCTGTGATCCTGCAGGACCTCCTTGTAACCCCTGAAGGGGCCAGGAGCTCCAGGACAGTCTCAGCAGGCCCAAACTTACCCTTTTTCTGCAGTTTCTGAATGGCCTCCCTCCACTCGGACCTCTCGTAGTCAGACGACAGCAGGAAGAGGTAGCTCTGTAAGAAAGAGGCTGATGCAGCAGGCTATGCATGGCCAGGGCTGAGCCTGGCCCCCAGTCCACCCTCCTCACCTTCCCGTTGCGGTTGTGGATGCGGAAGGGGATGGCGGGCGAGTTGAGAAGCAGCCAGAATTCATTCTCAAACATCTTCTTCTTGAGGCGCTCGATGGCCCGGCTCTGACCCTTGTTGGCTTTCTGCAGGCATGGAGCAGACAGGAGCTTTCGCAGGTGCTTCCCCATGTCCCATCCCTGACCCAGAGGAAGGCACCCACCTCGGCAGCAGGTCCCGTGCCCTCCCCAACCACCCTTCTCTCACCTCCTTCTGCACCTCGCTCTTGATGGCGGAGATCTTCATCTTCATGTCCTCCAGCTCATGGTCAGGGATGACGTGGACCTGCGGGCAGTGCTCTGACTCCTCCGGTGAGGGGAACACCAGGTCGGCCAGGGGCACGTACCACTTGCAGTCGTACTGCTGGTGCTTCCTGTGGCCAGGGCACAGGTGTTGAGTGATGCCTGACACCCTCCCCAACACATCCCTGGCCCACTGGAGGACAGGGAGGTTGTGACGCGTTCCCCCCATGCCCAGTGCCCTCCTTACCCCACTGCTGTCTTCTTCAGCTTGGCGCAGAGCAGCACGTCAGTGAAGAGGAAGACGTGCCGCAGCTTCCGTGAGCCCTCCGACAGCTCCACCAAGAAGCCATCCTTGACAAGCTGCCGGGTCTGTGGGGCAGCAGGGCTGGCATGAGAGTGGGCAGGGAGCAAAGGACAACAAACAGCCCAGGACGGATGCTCCTGTCCCTCTCTGTGGCTCAGCCACCAGAAGCGTCCATGCCCTCTGCGTGCTACTTTGAGTCCCACACACTCAGTAGAGTGCCAGCAAGCAGCAAGGACCAGGTAAATCCCTAACCTTGCACCCAGGACTGCGTCTAGAGGAAACCCTCCATCTCCTGGCCAAGCACTGTGGAGCTCCTCAGTGCGGAGACTCCAGCCAGGAGGCTCACCCTGTGCCCTGGCACTGCCCACCCCGCTGGCTCACCTCCCCCTTGGGGGTAGTGACTGCTGTCCTCCGGGGATCGATGTCCTCATTGATGCTGGAGAGAAAGTTCTGCGAGATACGGAGGGCATCCTGGAGCAGTGGATAGTCAGGGTGGTCGGCCGGGGTGGAATGGGGCAGACACAGGTAAGCAACCCAAGGGCACTGCCCTGCCTGCAACACCCACCCCAGAGACCTCACAGCTCTAAGTCCCCAGCAGCAATGGGGGCAGAGCCCCAGGACTGGTGTCACACTCACGTGCAGGACAAGGGTGCTCCGCGTCACCCGGTCGATGGGTTTGTACAGCAACGCTGTAGAGAGAGAGAGGAGCTGTCAGCAGCCACTGGAACCCTGGCCCCTCTCCCACCCACAAGAGCCAGTATCGCATCCCATGGCGGGGAAGGAGGGGAGACCAGATGCTCAGAGACCCTCCCCCAGTTCTGCACAGAGCCCTGGGCAAATGTCTGGGGTCCATTCTGCACGGGGCCAACTCTCACGTTCCTGCCAAGAGCAGTGGTGAGCCAAGGCTCAACGCCCGTGCCCTGCTGAGTCGGAGGCAGGAGAAGCCACCCCCGGGCGGGCCAGGTGAGGAA